AGCGCTCGATTTGTATGTTGACGAGGCGGAATATTTGGATTGTTCGTGAACGTTCTGTTACCAAAGATTACACGACACATATTGATCAAATTCTTACATTTCCATGTCAGTATGCATACCTATCTGTGCTTATCGACAACATCGTTGATTATTTGTATAGATTTGTGAAGAGTTTTGTGTAAATTCATACGACACATGTGAAATTTTTCATTTGATTTCGGATCTAACTAGATGCCTTCACACGGATGGAACGAACGTTTCAGTAATAAATGAAGGTAGGAACAAGGAATGTTTACTTTTTATTTTTTAATTCATTCAAGAAACGCATTTCATCGGTCGTTTCTGTTCTGTTGTCTGCTAGCCTTATCAGCGGAATTTCGCTAAGAGGCGAGCTTGACGCCATATTGCTTTGGTTAGAAACGGGGCGTGGCTTAAGTGCGATGGGAGGAGCTTAACACAATTGACAATGATTCTATCGCAGATTACAACATGGTCCGTATCCAATCAAAACACGCGTTGCAAACGAATTGTGTTAGAATTACAGATCGAGCACACACGAACATGTTACACGTGATCCCTCTGATGTCTGAGACTTGGCATGAGTATGATACAGGCACCGCACGGCCCCGCAAACAATTGCAGATTAAATCGAATTGACATCTGAATGATACCGTAGGGAGCCCGTAAGACTATCAAGGATACCGCAAGGCCATTTGACAATGGCCATGCTATCGTACGGTAGCCGGAAGATGTTCGGTGTGACGGGCGAGATAGGTAGCCCGTGTGATATCTCGCATTTTATATGGCGTGTTTACATAGGGAAGCACACATGTAAACACCTAAACGTTTCCAGGATTCCCAGATTCTGAAACAATTCTGAGCCGCCTGATTTTATACCTAGCTCGTCCGTGAGAAAATATCGTCTGCATCGGCCGATGCCCGTCGGGAGGGGCTCGGCCGAATAACCCACGGACACCGCACAGTTTGAGGACATCGGGCGCCAACCTTACGATTACCGTACGGCACCCGTCCGGACATCGGGAGGTCTACAGGACACCTGGGAGCATGGGAAATTGTACAAAAGCCCAAGATGACCGTACGATACCACCTGGAGCAGTAAGATAATCTTACGAAATCCATGCGGGACATTTAAGAAAGATTGCCGGGTAGGTTCTGATGAGTTAAGGTCAAACAAAATCTGCAACTTTTATCTCCGCGCTAAACGCTTCCGGCGACCCATGCGGCGTCTAAAAATCGGCCGATAGGGCCCGATAATCTCCTGGCGTCCTTACGGTTCCCGGGCTTAGCGGCCGATTTCGGTAATCGGCGCAAATGTGACTGAGGATTTAGCTGACACTGAACTCTATATATACAGGCACTGTACACGTTAACATTCTACAATCTGATTGTGATATTTCGTAGGTAATAAAGACATAAATTTCTTAAAGACAGTTAAATGTAGAATCAAATTATACATGTATGTATATCTAAGTTATATTAAATATATTTCCAATGACATATCTGTGAAAACCATTAATTATAAAAAGGATCAGTATAGAGTTTTACCTTCGTACAAAGCGATTGTATCACCACGTGCAAGTGCATTGAAGTTGTATCTAATAAGAATTCCTGTTGTGTTGGTTTTAGCTTCAATATGCCACTTGCAAACATATCCACCGCTTCGTCCAATACTGGTGAAATAAGACATCCATTAAAGACTATTAAGCTAGATTAAAGATCTTGTGTAATTAAGTCTATACAGATGTAAATATACATAGAAACAAATAAAATATCCAATGTACAATAACAATTCCATCCTAATCATATGCGTTTTGACGTCTTCAATTATGTTTCCCATTTCTCTACAAGTAAGGCCGAAATGATTACTACAAGTCATTGTGATCTATTTTAAAATAGTGTTCATATGGACACTGACATGACATCGTTTCGAGAGGCAAACTACACGAGATTAAGAAACAGATGTAGGAGTTCTACTCTGTCGCGTATCGAAATGAACCTCGCAGCTTACTGTTATAAATATATTACAAAGTTTCAGTGAAGCATCTTCATTAATGGGACATAGTCCTGTATACTGAGTTCTTTAATTATCTTCTTAGTTACGACAAGGGAAATATAGCTTAAACAATAATTGTGAGCTTAGCATCGGTTAACAAGTGTACACATATAACAAGCCATATCGCTCATTCATTGGAATGAATAGCTTCAGATGGAATATTTGCATTGCTCAGCGCACCAATTATATCAAGTTTAATGACAAGACGCATTGCTGCAGTTCACTAACATAGTAGTTTCAACTCGATGCAGATTCATTTTCATTTGAAATGATGTTTTATAGCAAAATCAAACGTGATAAACACACTTGATCTTATCAAGATCAACACACATAAACTGACTTATAGATTTGATCCAGTGTCCTTACCCAGGATAAGCAGAAGGATATCCAGGCGACGTGATAGTGGTTATAGGTAAAACTGCTTTCAACATAGTCACTGGTCCTTTACACGGTGCATCCAGGATATAACTGATAGAAAACCCTTTTCCGTTTGTGTATTGGCTAGAATTATATTTGATGTGAAAATAGCTCTTTTTGAAAACTAATGGTGAAAAGTCAAAAGTTCCGGAGCACACGGGGCTTGCTGAGGAATCGTGACCTACAAATATATGTATTTCTGGAATAGTGACCTGCAAATATACAAGTTTCCTATGTCAATTGTCCCAGATCATTTCCAATGTTTCTGAGGAATTATTAATAATACGACAGGGTCTGGCAGAGTCACTTAACAAAAATATGTCTTTTTGCATAAAAAAACAGCATTAAACAATTCTTGTACGTAACTTGAAAAATATAACAATAATAAATACGCCTGTTTCATGTAGACAAATCTCTGAAATGTTTTATCAAGGAATCCAATGCTGCTGGTCACAGCCGTTAGATAGAAAAGGCGATAGTCGGATGCGACGTTGATCCATAAGATCGCAATAAGGATATATACTATGGATTGCGAAGAGGTTTAGGCATCATTTTAGAATATCATTGGTAACAACAGTTAATCCGTTGCAGAGCTGAGGCGCTATATTAACGCATTAGTTCCTGCTGTGGTAGTTGTATGACACATTACTATTGCTAGCGAACCAATCGTCGTCAAGGTAGGTTGACGATCAAGGTATGCCAGGAAATAGAAACGACCTACACAGCTCTAAGCAGACAAAACAGTGCTGACCCGAGGTAAATTGAGATAGGGAGATCAACATAGAAATGACACTCTTGAAAAGGGGGAAAAAGGCAAGAAGCGAAAATATCATCATTCATTCAGTATTCGGAAGAATGGGAGAAAGGACGATCAGATGAAACAGAAATATTTCAGAAAATGAAGAGAGGTTTGATATTGGAGGAGACGGGAAAAAGAGACAGATGCTCCAGTATCGCCGCTATGAGGTGAACTCAGGCAAAGTGGGTCAATCAGGTTGAAGGTTAGAAGCAAATCGTGCAGCTCATTGAACTTTGTGATTGACCCGGGTAACATGACTAGATGGAACCTTTCAGTGTATTTTTCGGTGCTGTCACTCACTATCTCGAGGACGTACCCGGACAAGTGTCGAAACGTCCAGGGAGAGATACAACCGGCTTAGCATGATAATCGATATGCAGCAGATCATTATTTACAAATACACATACAAATGAGAGACCTTTAACCTTAACTATATTCAGTGTACAATGTGTTGCGACTTAGAACCAAAGTCTTTAAACTAAGATGTGCCTAGGCGTCTCATATCAAGTTCTTTACAAGCACAACCTTATTCATTTTTGGATAGTAAAATAAAAAGCCATTCTTAGTTTTAAAGAATAGGCTGTATGCTTGCCAAGGTAATTTCTCTTTTAACAATATGTTATATTGCTTATTACCAAATTTTAGCACACCATATGTTTTCTAGTTTGACGAATTGCTAATTTTGTTTTGTCTTAATATCAAAATACATATTTAAATTCCCATATCCATCGCACAACTTTAATTAGAATTAGTTTGAGATATTTTGAAAAACAATATTAACAGTACTTTTTCGCAGAAAAAGCAAAATTAAATAGAAAAAAAAACATCCACGTTAGCATTTGTTGAACGAGATTCCCGTAATGTTACTGGCCATATATCTAAATTTTCTCGGACCTTTTTTTTTTGTTTCATTTTGAGCCACCAATTTCAAAACTTTTGACAAACATTGTTTGGTCTGTATTATATACTTACATTTTGGTCGGGATCATTGCGTCTTTGATAAAAAGCATCATTGATTACCAGTAATTGTCATAACTTAGAACATTCACCTTTTTAGAGGGAGAGTTTCACAGTAGTACGCCGCCTGCAATGAATTATATTGGCAACATCGGTTTACCTGTAATCTGAAGGAAGTCTGAACAGTCGGCCCCAAAGTAAGCAAACTCGACTGTCAAAATGACCCCTCTTCCCGTATTTCCATCGCTTATGTTCCAGTAACAGTCGGAACTGTAAAGTAGATATTGTGTTGGATAAACATGAGATCAGACGTAACCTCCTCTAGTGGTTACTGTATCACAATCATTTACATATATTAGTAAGCATTACATATCACAGCATATAAAATACAGCAGTAAACTAATACATATCACAGCATATAAAATACAGCAGTAAACTAATACATATCACAGCATATAAAATACAGCAGTAAACTAATACATATCACAGCATATAAAATACAGCAGTAAACTAATACATATCACAGCATATAAAATACAGCAGTAAACTAATACATATCACAGCATATAAAATACAGCAGTAAACTAATACATATCACAGCATATAAAATACAGCAGTAAACTAATACATATCACAGCATATAAAATACAGCAGTAAACTAATACATATCACAGCATATAAAATACAGCAGTAAACTAATACATATCACAGCATATAAAATACAGCAGTAAACTAATACATATCACAGCATATAAAATACAGCAGTAAACTAATACATATCACAGCATATAAAATACAGCAGTAAACTAATACATATCACAGCATATAAAATACAGCAGTAAACTAATACATATCACAGCATATAAAATACAGCAGTAAACTAATACATATCACAGCATATAAAATACAGCAGTAAACTAATACATATCACAGCATATAAAATACAGCAGTAAACTAATACATATCACAGCATATAAAATACAGCAGTAAACAATACATATCACAGCATATAAAATACAGCAGTAAACATAACATATCACAGCATATAAAATACAGCAGTAAACAAATACATATCACAGCATATAAAATACAGCAGTAAACTAATACATATAAAAACTGACTTCTATCTAGCAATGAATTTTACCGATCGACATGGTGTTTCTATTTTAAATGACAAAAGACTCGGCCTAAAACGGAACATTTTATTTCAAGACTGGTGTTCACAATATTAGCCTAACAATTGAAGGAACAGTGATGAGATATATAGCAAATAGTCCCTGTGTCTAAGGAAGCTGATCCTTTGGTACGTTTTGTTATAAGTCATGTGGTTGAAGATTATCCATGTTGTAGATGTTATTCACATACTGACTATTAGATACTATTCATCATGAATAGTTTTACGGCTAACAAGATGTTATATTGTTATACTGTAAACAGTTTTACGGCTAACAAGATGTTATATTGTTATACTGTAAACGGTGTTTGTTTCTTAGAGTTAAGTTAAAAGACATTTTACAGGAAACTTAACAAAAGGTCTTTTATTTGCAGCAATCACTGGTTTTTGTTTTAAGAGTTAAGAGAGAAGTACTACAGTTACGCGTTTGTTTCGTTGTGTACACTTGGAATATCCAGTCAATTATTGGTTTCTAAGCGTAAAGTAAAAAATAAATTCGCCGTCATTTATTTGTTTCTTAGAGTAAAGTTAAAGGTTTTGCTTTCTATTTCTTTTCATAAACATATATTAAATGGAATAATCGCATTAACTATTTGATCGGTAAAAATAGCCACTTACCCCGGATTTGAACTGTTGAAGAAAGGACTCGAGAAATACTGAAGGGTATCGTCTGCCATCAGGGGAAGAGGAGATGATTCTGCATTGGCACTACAGGCACCTGTAGTAACAATTTCGTCACATAGTTGTACAGGTAAAAAATACAAATATCTCACTCAGTCATAGCTTGACGAAGGGACCAGGCGGTCTTGAAACGTTCCGACACGTTTAATACGTACATTGTTTGTGCAGAAAGTAAAACTTTGATATCATCATATTTCCAAACTGATTATTCTCATTGAAGAATCATTATATGTAGGAAAGTCAGAGGAGAATTGTTTTCCAAATGGAGTAGAAAATAATTATCAATAACAAAAATAATTCCGATTTTCAAACTATGAATATAATTCATTTTAATGGCTTGATAAGAAATTTGATAGAATTGTGATTTATTACCAGTGAAATATTGAAAATCAATTTTGCTATAAAAGTGATATTTTTCACTTATGAAAATATATCACTTTTGCTGATTTGACCAATCAAAACACTGATTACAAACTACAATGGGGAAGATTACAAGCGGCCAATCTGGTCAAAGGCTGGTTAGCTTAGCGATACAAGGGCCTCGTGAAAATCCACCCATTTTACTGCGTAGAATTATTAGATCTGTTAACTATCATCGGGGAGCTGTTCTCTTGGGTAAACACAACGTTTAGTTCCATAGTTAAGTTTCATTTTAAGGAAGCCAGCAGACTATGCCAATGTCACAGCAATAAAAGAGACTGAATGCGTTCCATCATCTGTGTGTTCTTTTATTACCCCGAGAAGAAACAACAGTACACGAATATAAGTGTAAGGAAAAACCCCTGAAATGTACAAAAGTACTGCCTTAGTTCAACTACAAGCTACAATTAAATTAAAGTTACTTTCCCCAAATATATTCAACATTACAGTAACCTTAAATATATACATGGATACTTACCTTCATCGACTATCAAGTCGTATCAGTGTCAATATAGTAATATGGTTCACGTCTGGACATATATGTGGTATACATATAGCCCCGGCTGCTGTCTCTGCGCGGTTCCGCCATTGTACAGTTGATTTTATTAAAAACTCTCTCTCTCTCAATGCACGATTTTCTCACCTGTCACACCTGGACACGTACTCAAGACATCATCAAATATGGACAAACACCGACACTACCGGACAGGTAACACACCAAATATGGACATACACGTCAAGTTACACATCGAACAGAACACAAACAATAGACATAGGGACTTTCCCTAACAGGACAAGTGTACTAGACTCAAATAACCTTATTATAATATCTTTCCCTAACAGGACAAGTGTACTAGACTCAAATAACCTTATTATAATATCTTTCCCTAACAGGACAAGTGTACTAGACTCAAATAACCTTATTATAATATAAACGTTTTCAGGCTTAAAATAAAGACAAGAAACATAAACACATGGATATACATTGATATATCCCTGTGACACAAATCAGCAACTCTATTCGTTTGACCGTAGGAAACTAAAGTCTCCAAGTCCCAAGTTAGGCTAGGCGATTGGCAGAAAGTATAAGGGAACTAGTGTCATCTCTGACAGTAATAGTGTTAAATAACTTACATGGTGTTCATATTTCACCATCAACACAAGTGGTGACACAATAACTCTGCATTTCCCCACTCCCCACTATTTTAGATTCGGCATTTAGCTGATGACGGGATCTATTTTTATATAATAACATTATGAAAGTAATTTGGCTACTTTAATAAAAATATAAAGTAAATTACCTACTTTATTGAAATAAATTATCAAAGGAATTTACTGATGAAATTTTTACATTTTAGAGAGGACCATTTCGTGTCGCGTAGGTTTGTCTTGACATGCTATTGGTAAAAGGATCCAGATCAAGTCTTGTGTCGCATCCCAGGGTAGGTTTTCGTACAAAAGGTAATAAACAGAATATCTAGCAGTGTTTTCATTAATAACAAATATAATTCACTCGTGTGGCTAATATTTGATATATTTCACTGAATTGCTTTCGAAGACATTAAGAAGATTGGAAATTCTCCTTTGGTACAGTCCGAGTTACCACAGGATCAGTCGGAATTGCCACAGTCACACTTTGACAGATATTTCTTATTATTTATTTCCGTAGACATATGGAAACCTGCATGTCGTGAAAACGTCTGTTATTTTGTTAAAAAATATTATACAGGAGTGTTTGTATCTTATAGTCGGTATGTCCATGGCTTTCACTAACAATCATTTGATTTCGACGAAACGTACTGTGCATGTTAAATATAAAAAGACTAACGCTTAGAACGAAATCGAACAAAATTTGCTTATAAGGAAGAATAGCAAATACCGCGATCTAATTGGTCCCAAGTTTCCGCGTCGTAATAACTTATTTAAATATGAGTGGCGTCTGATTGGTAAACAGTTTCTGATCATTTAAATCACATATGGCTGGATTTTGAAGAAATGTACTGTACCGAGCGGTTATTTAATTAAAACATTACTAGCACCTGCTCCTGTATCAAAGGCAGACCCTTGTCTTGACCGTAAAACAAACTAGATCGCACACATGGTATCAGTACAATAAACTTACCAGATGAGGCCTGTGACAAATATCCCATGTTGAAGCCAGCATTTCCCGACGATGACACGTTGAATTCTATGTAAACAGATGACACTGACACAAATGTTGTACGTTTGTTGCAGAAATAACAGGGATCGGTATAGTTATCTCCTTGACCCGGGAAAAGCAATGTCCCTGTTTTGTCACTGGTTCCTGAAAATTTAAACAAAACATCACTTTTTATAGAATAGTCTAAATAGGAATTAACCATCCCAATAACGGACATATGGCATATTTAATGCTTTTAGTTGGGGGACATATGGCATATTTAATGCTTTTAGTTGGAGGACATGTGCCTTATTTAATGCTATTACTCGGAGGACATATAACATATGTAATGCTATTAGTTGGAATTGCTACATGCTTGCTATTTTTCCTTGCAAGATTTAATCAAATTGCGTACATTATACGAAATGTTTCATCAATCACACAAAAACAAAACTCCATTCTTGGTTTATCAAAAAGAGTCCGATGACCTCAGTGAGCACTTGTCACGTAAGTATTATATCAAATCAAATAAATGGTCTGACCAGATTAACATTCTCTATATAAAAATAATCAGGTCTATGTTTTCAAATAATATCATAGTCTTTGAGACAAACAAATTCTCGTACACAAGGTCGTTACTGTAGCCGTTGTCAATGAATGTTCTAATCGTTTAAAACACCTAATCCCAGTTTCAATTAAACCACGTCCAGATCATGCATGTGGAAAAACTCGATAGACAACTTTCAAGCTATATATTTTGCTACTTGAGAATGTGTATGTCTTTAGTAGAAAGCATCTGAACATTTTAACATATTTGAACCCTGTGACCTTCAAAGTAAGTAAAGGCCATATATGTCAACACACTTTATAGCCCATCAAACCATCGGAAGAAATCGCTACTTCAGGGCGTATGGTTTATCAGACATTATATGTGTAATCTTGAAACCTTTTAGATTAGGCTATTTTGTTGTGAAAACATAACGTCAGCATGCATTACTTCGGTGGTATTTTGATAGTTTAACACTTTTGAAACCTGGACTGGAAAAATAATAAGATCATTCTTTCATCTCAATTTAGCTATAGGTCGAAATACTCTATCAGAAAACTAGGATTACTATAGACTTCATAAATCATTAAATTAAATGTTAACACGTTTGTCTTTATAACGATACACATAGCCGAAGGTTATTTATAGGAACAACATGAGTTTCCTTCTATCCAGCAAGTTACCAACTAAATACCGTTATTACCAGGATTGGGAATCACGTTGTTTGTGAGGATGTAATGGATATCGCAACTTTCATTCCCGAAAGCATTTATATGACTTAAATTTGTTAACCTATATTGATTGTGTGTTTACCTTCATATATAAACAGGGTATCGCCATCAGTGAGTTTGTCGACTGTCAAAAGGAGAAGCAACCCTTCCGCTGTATTCGGATCAATCTGCCAGGTACAACTGTAAGCACCGCTTTTGACAGCGCTGTTAAAATGAAACATGGTATAAGCAAAAACGATTCATATGATTTAAAAATCACATTGGTTTAAACATATTTTACTGGGTTTTTCATCAACAACTGGATTGGGCACAAATAGGTTGTCCATGAAATATTACAGTAATAAATTGACCGAACTTTTACGATGCCAATTTTAGTATAACCATTATGAATAACATTAAGATCATTTTAACCATTATGACTGAGTACCTTTGGTAATTACTTGGATAGCCAATTGACGACAGGTAACGTAGGTGTGGCTGTCCCGTTAACGCGGTGAGGACCCCTTTACACGGTTCCTCCAGTACATAGCTCACAACAAACCCCCGATAGCCATCTACTTTGTCAGAGTGAAATGTCACTATAAAGCTTGAGTTTCTTATTGAAAACGGACGGATAAACACGTCTGTCAAACAGTACATAGTGGGGTTTATCTCACCGCCTGGAACGAAAAATGAAGTTATGTTAGTGGTATAGTTATTCCATAATATACACTTGTTTTGAAAATGTTTGTACTAAAAACGGTAATAAGCTGGTACCGAATTGTACGTACCAGAGAAGGTCACGTCTATGTAATGAGCTGTATTAAATGAGCCAGTGTTAGCGTCATGCAGAACGAGGTTCCTTATTTCACACTGTGATAATAAACTGTGTTCATTAACCCAGTAACGAATTCTCTTTGTTGACAGGAACATCATTGGTTGTTGTTGCCTGTTCAAATCGATAATTTGAAACAAGAATGATATAAAAACATAACGTGATATCCTTGCTATTCTTTGGCGTCATTTTGTCTGCCTTTATTGAATGTCGAGGGAATTAACGCTGCACATTGACGGGAAATGTTTTGCAAAAATAATATCACGGATATCAGAGAGAGCCACGATAATATACTGGTGTTGTAACAGAGAGGGCCATGATAATATACTGGTGTTGTACACGAGATAGCCACGATAATATACTGGTGTTGTACACGAGAGGGCCACGATAGTATGCTGGTGTTGTACACGAGAAAGCCACGATAATATACTGGTGTTGTACACGAGAGGGCCACGATAATATGCTGGTGTTGTACCAGAGATAGCCACGATAATATACTGGTGTTGTACACGAGAGGGCCACGATAGTATGCTGGTGTTTTACCGTAGAGGGCCATGATAATATACTGGTGTTGTACCAGAGAGGGCCACGATAATATACCGGTGTTGTACACGAGAGGGCCACGATAATATACTGGTGTTGTAACAGAGAGGGCCATGATAATATACTGGTGTTGTACACGAGAGGGCCACGATAATATGCTGGTGTTGTACCAGAGAGGGCCACGATAATATACTGGTGTTGTAACAGAGAGGGCCATGATAATATACTGGTGTTGTACACGAGAGGGCCACGATAGTATGCTGGTGTTTTACCGTAGAGGGCCATGATAATATACTGGTGTTGTACCAGAGAGGGCCACGTTAATATACCGGTGTTGTACACGAGAGGGCCACGATAATATACTGGTGTTTTACCGTAGTGGGCCATGAAAATATACTGGTGTTGTACCAGAGAGGACAACGATAATAAACTGGTGTTGTACCAGAAAGGACCACGATGATATACTGGTGTTGTACCAGAGAGGGCCACGATAATATGCTGGTGTTGTACCAGAGAGGACAACGATAATAAACTGGTGTTATACCAGAGAGGGCCACGATAATATACTGGTGTTATACCAGAGAGGACCACGATAATATACTGGTGTTGTACGAGAGAGGACAACGATAATAAACTGGTGTTGTACGAGAGAGGACAACGATAATAAACTGGTGTTAAACCAGAGAGGGCCACGATAATATACTGGTGTTGTTCCAGGTCAGGATTATATACCGGTGGTCAACAAAAGGAAATAATAAAAATGATAAAAAAAAATGATTAACACAAATCATTATGTCGGTAACCTTCTAAAAACGCCTTTCTATTTTGCAAAGCAAATGTGGATTACACATGTGTTGGAATGATTAAGTTGTCAACAGCATTACATCAATAAAGTGTTAAAATCTAATGGAAAGAAACGTATTTCATCACCGAAGTGCAACGATAACTAAAAATACTAAAAATATTGAGGCAAAGTAAAATATTGAATCTTCACTTTAGTGTGCTGGTCTCCCATCAAGGGAAACAAATGAAGCGATGAAGCGAACCTGTGATGGAAAGCTGACATACCCGCTGTTACGTTTACGTAGTCCACACAATCCTCCAGGGACATGATTTCAAATGTCAGTATTATATCTTTTCCAGTGCCGCCATTTTTTATTTCCCAAATGCAATCCTGGTCCCTGAAAACATACCGTCACATTACTAGAATTAAGGGACATGCATAATCAGCTCGGTCAGCAATGATAAAGTACAGAGCAGTATACTAGGTCGGTTCATTTTGGGCATCGCCATTGGCCCCTATCGGTGATCATGGAGACAACACTCCTTTGTCACGTGTATACACCACTATTTTGTCACGTTTATACACCACCATTTTGTTATACTTTATGCATTGGGACATAGTTGTTTCTATAACAGCAACATTGTCAAACATTTCCTCCAGTTGTGCATGTATAATACGCGTAGCAGATAATGAAGATTAACTTGTTATGTTTTGATCGATATATTAGCATCATGATACAACAAAGGGTACATCTTTTCTGTTCTTTCACCTGAAAAGTATTGATTAGTTAACTTGCAAAAATACATAAATTTGATATGTAAAATTATCCGTGTATTCCGTCAGCCTCTGATCATAACCGTGCACACCTGAACTGTTTTTAAAAGGAGGTTAAGACTAAGTTTCTGGAAAGGTAAAAGTTGTTGCTTTATCGACGACATCGGTAATGTAAATATTTTTTTCTACATGTATTATAATACACTTTTTGAAGTAGTCCGCAAGTTTTGTGGTCAAAATATAATTTATTTCTACCTTCTTTGACTCTCTGCAACATATCTGACCTATTAACCCCTAATATGCATGCTCAGCATAAGTTAAATTTTGGCACAATTAAATCATAAGAAAAACTATATGGGGGTCAACGTTCTATAACTAGAGAGAGATTTTGTCCAAATTTATGTTTAGAGAAAGAAAATAACATCAACAATGCTATGCATTATTCAGAACCATCTACTCTACGCTAACAAGCATTACACTCAGCAAATAGTTCTGCTAACGTGCGTAAATCTGGACATTTGACTAAAATGTTAAGGTTTATAATATCTTGAGAGTCATCTTAGAACAACTGTGGATAAACCAACACAGAAAGATGATCCACACAACGTACGGGGAATACTTAGCGGGGAATTCAGGGTTGTACAGGTACAGTGGCGTGGTGGTGGCAGTCACTGCATTTTTGGTGCTCGTTTGACAGACCGAAGCGGCGACTGTTCCTAAATCATATAAAACATGTTATTGGATATGCAGAAATATATTTACCATAATCAGTTCTAGAGATCTAAAGGAATCATGATTACTATTAATGCTCTTTATGATCACTTTTGATCAGGAATTCATACTGTTTTTGTATGACAATGTTCCTTTAAAGTGAGGTTGTTATTTAACCTACTAATCAGCACAGTACTTAATCTACAAGATGGGGAACCTTAATTTGAAATTTGAGAAAGAACAGTTTAGTACATCTTAGGAACATCTAACAAACTGAAATTCTCGACATCTAAGATGACTGACCGTATGGATACCATTTTGATCTTCTGATCAGCCTCAAAATGAAACATGCACATTCAAGGACTCATCAACATATGGAATTTGATAAAGAAATAAGAACAAAAATGTAAAAATTCAAAAAGGCTATCTGGTGGCCATCTGGTTTTTCCAATCTGTCTTAAAATGAAACATGAATAATGATGGACCATTGGGAATATGCATGACTTTCCAAGAAATAGTGCTACCAAGTTCCAATTTTTAAATTTCAATCCGTCTGTCGGCCAGCTTGGTTTTTCCGATTAATCCAAAATTCTGTTTTTTGCGCTATTACGGAACATGGGACCTACATATGAATTTGTGAAAGATCACTCATGCTTTTTCTACGAAATAGCTCTAGAAAAAAATGTTGAATTTCAAGACCATTTTTGTTTTCAAAACTCGATATGCATAACTTTAGGCCATGAAAAACCTACATGTGAATATTGAGAAAGATTACTCCAGTACTTTCAGAGAAACAGCGATAACAAAACTTTAACTCTGAAAATTCAAGATGGCTTTCTGTGGACCACTGTAGTTTTCTGCTAAGACAAAAATTCCATTCCACTTAACTAGGGACCAAGGGGCCATTTTTGCCAACTCGATCAGTTCCAAAATTCAATCATCAAAATTTAAGACAATGGGAAAACTGCGTGTGTAATGTGAAAAAGATCACTGGTGTACTTTCCAAGGAAGAACGATAATAAAATTTACGCTCAAAATCAAACATTACCGCCTGTTCTCCAACTTGATTTTCCGATCGATGCAAAAACGATATGCGTAACTAGAGACCATTGGAAACATCATGTGAAAATTAAAAAAAAGATCCTACTAGTACTTTCTGAGAAAAAAGCAAACAAGAATGGTTTATAGACGTATGAAGAGACGAACGGACGGGCGGAATGACAGGCGAAAGACCATTTAATGATAGTTGGCTAAAAACAGCAGAAAGGAACATTGATCCATAACATGCTTGATAAAGAGACAAATGTACGTTGATCAGTAAAGATGAGATAAAAAAATAACACGTTTACATTGATCAGTAAAGCTGAGATAAAAAAATAACACGTTTACATTGATCAGTAAATAAAAGATTGAAAATATTACGTGTACATTAATCAGTAAAATAAAAGTTCTCAACAAATCACGATTACATCATTTGTACATTGATCAGTAAATAAAAGATAGAAGAATAACACGTTTACATTTGTACATTGATCAGTAAATAAAAGATTGAAGAATAACACGTTTACATTGATCAGTAAAATATCAGATAGAAAAAAACCGGTAATATTGATCAGTTAATGTTAGATAAAAAGACAACATATGTACATTGATCAGTAAAATACCCCCATTAAAATTATGTTTGTCAGATGAAGAAAAAAACATCAATCAATTGCATTTGATATTCGAAGCGTTCTTTATGTCACAATCCGATCCAATTCTTTAATATGAAATTATCTTCTTAAGTTATGTTGCAAATCCCAAATTTAGTTTAAACGTTAATAGTTCAACTTTGTTAAAAAGATTTTATTAAGCAGAAATTACTTGGAAATGCTATGAAAGTCTCTTGGAATCCTGTACTAGTTGACATAGCCTTCACGGTAAAGTTAATACATGTCGGACTGGTAAAATTGCTATCTGTCAATACGTCTTTATCTGACGAGTCATTAATCAGCTTGTCCGGGGAGGAGGTATCGCAGCCTGCAATCAAATAAAATCGGTCAGTTAATTTATTAAGTAAAACATTGCGGTAATATTATATTTTTATAATCTGGAGGGATCACCTTGTGTGTTATATGATGTTGTTTTCGACTATACCCATCAAAACATTTTATTGTTAGCCATATTAAGTGTGATATTATTAAAAACTTTTAAGTGAGTCAATCGTCGATGACTTTCAAATAATGTGATATGTCGTTGTTAGCTATTTAATATTGAGACACATCGTTGTTGACTTCTCGATAGTGCGAGCTGTCGTTGTTAGCTATATGATAGTGAGACATGTCGTTGTTAGCTACATTTATATGATAGTGAGACATGTCGTTGTTAGCTATATGATAGTGAGACATGTCGTTGTAAACTATATGATAGTGAGACATGTCGTTGTTAGCTATATGATAGTAAGACATGTCGTTGTTAGCTATTTAATAGCGATACATGTCGTTGTAAACTATATGATAGTGGGGATGTCGTTGTAAACTATATGATAGTGCGATATGTCGTTGTAAACTATATGATAGTGAGATATGTCGTTGTCGGCTATTAAATAGGGATATATGTCGTTGTTAGCTATTTGATAGTTGGATATGTCATTGTAAGCTATTTGATAGTGAGATTTGTCCTTTTTTTAACAATTTGTGGTGAGTTTTGTCGTTGTTAAGCTTTTGTTAGTGAGATATGTTGTTGCTAGCTATTTGATAGTGAAATGATTTGTTGTTACATATTTCATAGTCAGAAATGTCGTTGGTAATGGCTAGTGTGAAGCACAATGATGCATCTCTATGTTCAATCAATGAAAATGTTAACTGTTTCGTTTTATCAGGTGCCAGTTCCGGTATCGGTGCCAGCGCATGTGTACTTTTCTCCCAACTTAATATGGTACTGACATCCGGCAATAAGAATAACTTAGATAAGGTAGCCAAGAAGTGCCAGGATAAAGGACTATCACCGGACTGGGAAAGTAATGGGTGAAATTATGTGTGTACAACACACCAGACGCGGCAAGTAATGGGTGTAATCATGTATATACACCACACCGGACAGGGCAAGTAATGGGTGTAATTATGTGTGTACAACACACCGGAAAGGGCAAGTAATGGGTGTTATTATTTGTGTACAACACATCAGATAGGGCAAGTAATTGGTGTAATCATGTATATGCAACACACCAGACAGGGCAAGTAATGGGTGTAATTCTTGTGTACAACACACCGGATACGGCAATAAATGTGTGAAATTATGTGTGCACAACACACCGGACAGGGCAAGTAATGGGTGTAATCATGTATATACACCACACCGGACAGGGCAAGTAATGAGTGTAATCATGTATGTACAACACACCGGACAGCGCAGGTAATGGGTGTAATTATGTGTGTACAACACACCGGACAGGGCAAATAATGGGTGTAATTATGTTTGTACAACACACTGGACAGGGCAAGTAGTGGGTGTAATTATGTGTATACAACACACCGGACAGGGCAAGTAATGGGTGTAATTATGTATGTACAACACACTGGACAGGGCAAGTAATGGGTGTAATTATGTGTGTGCACCACACCGGACAGGGCAAGTAATGGGTGTAATTATGTATGTACAACACACCGGACAGGGCAAGTAAGGGGTGTAATTATGTATATACAACACACCGGACAGGGCAAGTAATGGGTGTAATTATGTTTGTACAACACACCGGGCTGGGCAGGTAATGGGAGTATTTATGTATGTACAACACACCGGACAGGGCAAGTAATGGGTGTAATTATGTGTGTACAACACACCGGACAGGGCAAGTAATGGGTGTAATTATGTGTGTACAACACACCGGACAGGGCAAGTAATGGGTGTAATTATGTATGTACAACACACCGGACAGGGCAAGTAATGGGTGTAATTATGTATGTACAACACACCGGACAGGGCAAGTAATTGGTGTAATTATGTATGTACCACACACCGGACAGGGCAAGTAATGGGTGTAATTATGTTTACTCTCTTTGTTTTATTCTGTGTTTTTTATTTGTATTGACAACGCAACAAAGTCTTAATTTGCATTGATTATTTTACATATTTTCTTATCTTTACTTGGTTCAGAGAAGACATAAATGGCAATATTTTGAACAACAGAAATGGATTTTTTATATTTTGTCCGGTAGCTATATAATTTAGCAGATAAAACAACCATAACATTACCCGTTACGTCAAGGAGAACTAATTTAAACAACAATTATTTTGTCCTTTTATAAATCATTTCAGTTCTTAAATTGTACAGAATTTGAAATTTTCAATATAATCAAAAATTATTGTGAATATTGAACGTATTTTTATGTAGCAAAATGCCAACCAATATTATACAGACAGCTTTTTGAGTAAAAACAAATTTAGTAATGGGACAAAAACGAAGCAAAAAATAGACAGTTTTGCTGATCCATCGAAATTGCAGGCGATGAGATTTTCACAATGTTTCTTCCCAGAAATGGAGCTTTTATGAACTGGTACATATACAGAAGACTCAATATGAAAACTAAATCAAATAAGGAGAGTGATCCTGAAGACGGTCATCCTCAAGAGGATGATACCAAAGAAGATGATTCTTATAAGAGGGTGATCCTTAAGATGCTGATCATCAAGAGGGTGATCCTAAAGAGAGTGATCCTTAATGGGGTGATCCTTAAAATGCTGATCATCAAGAGGGTGATCCTAAAGAGAGTGATCCTTAATGGGGTGATCCTTAAGAGGGTGATCCTCAAGAGGGTGAACCTGAAGAGGGTGATATTTAACAGGTTGATCCTCAAGAGGGTGATCCTAAAGAGGGTGATCCTTAAGGGGGTGATATTAACCCGGGTGATACTAAAGAGTGTGATACTAGCTGGTTGATACTAGCCCGGGTGATACTAACCCGGTTTATACTAAAGAGGGTGATACTAAAGAGGGTGATCCTAAAGAGGGGGATCCTTAAGAGCGTGATATTAACCCGGGTGATACTAAAGAGTGTGATACTAGCTGGCTGATACTAGCCCGGGTGATATTAACCCGGTTTATACTAAAGAGGGTGATACTAAAGAGGGTGATCCTAAAGAGGGGGATCCTTAAGAGGGTGATATTAACCCGGGTGATACTAAAGAGTGTGATCATTAAGAGGGTGATACTAACCCGGGTGATACTAAAGAGGGTGATCCTAAAGAGGGTGATCCTTAAGAGGGTGATCATAAAGAGAGTGATCCGTAAGAGGGTGATCATAAAGAGAGTGATCCTTAAGAGGGTGATCATAAAGAGGGTGATTGTGGTTTATTGACTAGACTTTAAATAAAAACATCACAAATAACGTACTTTTCAAGGGCTTACATACTTAATCAAAGAGTTTCATTTATCAATTTGCATTTATCTCTCTATTTCTTTTGATTAAAATCAAACAGAAGCCATAATCAATATTTCTGTATATGGGTTTCACAGGGAAACCTATTGATTTTAAATTTTAACATTTTTAGTACATAAACGATGGAATAGCACTGCATTAATTATGAGCGGAAACAAGTAGATTAGTCCTTGAATGCACATCCTAATCGTGTCGCGCTTGACAACAGGGCTTCGTGCTATTTTAGGTGGCTTCTTAACAATAAAATCCCTTTCATCAACGGTGAGGATTTACTCACAAGATTGATTTCAATCGTAAAGCTAGGAAAATGCATATACCAATTAGGTACTAAACAGCTTCTTATTCTACCGTCGCTTCATCTGCTGCATCTAAACAGAAAGCCTTTGGTTTTGAATACAATGAAAACAATAACTGTTCTGTTAGAAATATTGATCTGAATGCTCAATACCAAAAAGGTATTTGTTTAAGTCTTAAATATATTAGCTTTTTTATAGTAAAAATTGTGTCATTTTCACAGTTTGAAGGATATCAACATATGTTCAGTACTATATCAACATAGGTTAGGAATCAACAGTAAATGTTGGTCGTGAAGTCAGAATATAGCGTCAAATCAGTCTTATGATTGTGACGCCCTATCAAATGACGAGTAACGAAAGTTTATCGTGTATAAAAAGCTGCCAACTTTAATTGTGTGATTGTGATTAAAATTGATAAAAAGTGTGATTGTGATTTGAATTAAAAATAAGCATGATTGTGATTTGAATTCATAATAAGTGTATTTGTGATTTGAATTGATAATAAGAGTGATTCTGAATTTAATTGATACTAAGTGCGATTGTGATATTAATTGATAGTATTTTTGTTTATGATTTTAATTGACAAGCACTATTCTGATTCTATTTGATAATATGTGTAATCTGATTTTCATTGATAATAGTGTGATTATGATTTGATTTGATAATAAGTGAGTTTGTGATTTTAATTTTTACTCATACTATGTGTGATTGAGATTTTAATAGATAATAATTGTGATCGCGACTGCGAAAACAGGCACAAATGCGGCTGACGTCATAATGACAAAAAAGCCGTCTAAAGTCACGAGACATAATTTCATAAATTTCACACGTGGTTGGAATGTGATTTTTATCAAAATTTGTGTGTTTCTGTTCAGAAGTATAAAATATGATTGTGCGGTGGGTTTATTCTGTTATACATGTAGTACATCGGTCATTTAATTACTTGGTTTTAATACCTATATACTTTTTTTTAAACTCAACCATTCGGAAATGTGTAGGAACATAATATACAGATTGACTGTACATATGTATACCATTGAGACTTTCAATGTTTCTACTATTAAGTTTTATCTTCTGTTATCTCCCTTTGTTGTTAATGGTAATGAACGATACATACCGAATTTTGCAGTTGCAAGCTGTTCTGAATATATTCAACTTAGTTTTATTCAATTCTACCTTGTTGTAATAACATTAACGTTACGTGACTGTGATTTTGAATAAAATACAGTCGTGTGTATAATGTCATTATTTGATTTTGCGTTTTTGTTCAAACATTGCATGTTACATAATCTTGATTTTCTCCGCAATGGTTAAAGATTGGTCACATTTGGGTTTTTATTTCTCACATTGTTAGCTCTCAGAAAATATCAAAATCTCGATTTCTGATTTTACCTCATCTGGCCCCATTTTCACAGTCGTGGTCACGATTATGTGTGATAATAAAAGTGATTTATTTTATTTGTGATTGTGATTGTGATTGCTATTGATTGAAGTTGCGATTTTGTGTGCGGATTTGTCCGTTTGTAAATTAGGTCGGGAATGATTACGATTTTAATTTATTGTGATTGATTATGATTGTTATTATAATTTATTGATTGTTACAATAGAGTCAACATACAAGAACATAACAGGGCCGGAGAATATTATATCATCTTAATCTGTCACATTGCTTTGTACGATCGATATTTTATGAGCTTATTATCTGATATCAAATCCATATCAATTCAATACTGGAAAGATTACCTGGGAAAATTTCGACCTTGTCCCCCGCACTGAGCTGCTTTACGTTGTGGACCATCAATATATCAGTATAGTTGGCTTCTGTTGTGAGTCGCCATTCACACTCCCTGTCATTACTGGGTAGGAGTTAACAATACATCATAGTACGACAAATGACAAAAACACGTTCAACATAAGTAATTTAAAGTTACAACATTCCAATGTAATGGACAATGTAGTTAACAAAAAAGATGTTTCCTTTACGATAGAAAAGTTATAACATGCTGTTGGTGTCACAGTTAGCAAGTAATAAATGAATGTTGATAACACCAGTTACTGTTTAAACATACAATGATATCATTAAAACATACTGTAGTTAAATTGTAGAAACATGAAAAATTACACATAATTTGTGCATGTATAGACATGCCTTAGTAATATCAAGTTTCCACTGATCCTGTGTTCATTGTAATCTCAACTAAATATATTGAAACATGTATTGAAAAGTACGCTTTGTACGAAGAGTACATTAAAACATCAACAGTATACCGTAAAGTATATATATTTTACAATTTATTCTGAAACACACACAGCTAGCGTTGACACATCGTACACTGTACTTTGCACGTTGACACATAAACTGTGTACTCTGAAACACACACAGCTAACGTCGACACATAGTGCACTGTACTTTGTAAGTTGACACATAAACTGTGTACTCCGAAACACACAGAGCTAACGTCGACACATTGTACACTGTACTTTGTACGTTGACACATAAACTGTGTACTCTGAAACACACACAACTAGCGTTGACACATTGTACACTGTACTTTGTACGTTGACACATAAACTGTGTACTCTGAAACACACACAGCTAGCGTTGACACATTGTACACTGTACTTTGTACGTTGACACATAAACTGTGTACTCTGAAACACACACAGCTAGCGTTGACACATTGTACACTGTACTTTGTACGTTGACACATAAACTGTGTACTCTGAAACACACACAGCTAGCGTTGACACATTGTACACTGTACTTTGTACGTTGACACATAAACTGTGTACTCTGAAACACACACAGCTAGCGTTGACACATTGTACACTGTACTTTGTACGTTGACACATAAACTGTGTACTCTGAAACACACACAGCTAGCGTTGACACATTGTACACTGTACTTTGTACGTTGACACATAAACTGTGTACTCTGAAACACACACAGCTAGCGTTGACACATTGTACACTGTACTTTGTACGTTGACACATAAACTGTGTACTCTGAAACACACACAACTAGCGTTGACACATTGTACACTGTACTTTGTACGTTGACACATAAACTGTGTACTCTGAAACACACACAACTAGCGTTGACACATTGTACACTGTACTTTGTTCGTTGACACATAAACTATGTACTCTGAAACACACACAGCTAAAACATAAACATTGTATACTGTACTATATACATTGACACATAATATGTGTACTCTGAAACACACACCGCTTTTACTGATACAATAGACACTGTTTATGTACATTGACACATATACGGTGTACTCTGAAAGGCACACTAATACTGATACATTGACATTGTATGTCTTTTCTATACTGAAGTAGAGTTAAGGTGTTATTATATGTAAGTCTTATATACACAAAATGCCCATTTACATAGTCTTATATCCCATTACTATATATATGTTTAAGATGCACAAACTCTGAAACAGATAGATAAATATAGGTGTTATTCATGCATCACATGTTTAACTAGATACTTTATATATGTTACAGATACAGTAAAGATAACACACACACTATATATACCAGAGAGGTACTAAGAAACTCTTGTAATCTATATAATAACAAGAGTTACTTTGTACCTACCTAGCACTTTCACCTCTTGAGGTTCATCATGGAAAATCATTTATATATATCACAATCTTAAAGTGAATTGATGAGATAAGAAACATGATTTTGAAATACTTACGTGGGGTAATTGTTAGGGAAGTTCGCAGAGGATACAGTTTGTGGTGTTTCGCCTACTATAATATTCACCGAACCAGAACACTGGCCATCCACAGATCGATAAACTAAAACAGGGAATGTCTAGTAAATGTACAGAAAATAGGGAAATTGAAATCAAACTCAATAAACAACCATTTACAACGATACTTAATCTAGTGTATAGATACTTACATATATCATTGACATAGGGATTGATATTCAATCTTGTGTATAGATACACACCTATAACATTGACATAGGGATTGACATTCAATCTTGTGTATAGATACACACATATGTAATAGACATTGGTATTGATATTCAATCTTGTGTATAGATACACACATATATCATTGACATAAGGATTGATATTCAATCTTGTGTATAGATACACACCTATAACATTGACATAGGGATTGACATTCAATCTTGTGTATAGATACACACATATGTAATAGACATTGGTATTGATATTCAATCTTGTGTATAGATACACACCTATAACATTGACATAGGGATTGATATTCAATCTTGTGTATAGATACACACATATGTAATTGACATTGGTATTGATATTCAATCTTGTGTATAGATACACACATATATCATTGACATAGGGATTGATATTCAATCTTGTGTATAAATACACACATATATCATTGACATCGGTATTGATATTTGATTCTTAAAGGAAACGTAGCCATATTCTATACATACTTAGGTGCAATAAACACAGCGCCGTCAATATGCTAGGAAATCGCATAACAGCCACCATCTTGATACGTTAAACGGCTGTAGGGTGAATGTCATTGCATGGTTACCTGTTCAAAAACGAAGGACTCTTAATCAGTAAGTTATGTGTAATATAACACTAGAACGTTTACATTCATGTAATGTGTATTATAACTTTACCTACGTGTTATGTATAAAATAACACTAGAAAGTTTACATTCATGT